TGTGAAATGACCACTTTTTCTCTGCCACTCCCTTCCAACGTGACATACATTACCTCACCACACAGCCCAGAAACACAGACCAAGAAACCACAGACAGAAACTCTAAACTTATGAGCCAAATAAATCTTTATTCCTTAAAAATGATTTCCTCGGGTATTTTGTGTCATCAACAAAAAACACAGTTAAGTGAAATGTTGACTATCTAAACAGGGGAAATGTTGTGTGATATTTTGATCACATTCTCAATAAAGTTTGCTTTGAATCAGAGGGCGGGCTAGCTATTCGCTGACCAGAATTAATCATAGAGATTTTGGAGGACTGAGGACAGATAGAGAGACAGAAAGTAGTAGGGCAGAGCTTTAGAGGGTCTCAGCCCCTTTTGGATGGAGGAACAAGAGGAGGTCATTGGTCACTTCCCCACCGATTCGCTGATCATTCAGGTTCTTACCCTGATATCTGACTCCCAAGTTTTTATTGATAAAGAATAATTAGATAAGCGGTTCAGGAAACCAGGATGTCTGAGACGAAAGAAACCTGCACAGGATGGGGTTAGTGGTGTATTAGGCAGTGCAGGTCAGTGAACTTGAAGATTAAAACATACATTCAGTGGCTGCGGAAACGGCGCAGTCAGTTACATGCTTGCTGTAAGCATGAGGATTGAGTTCAGTCCTGGACCACATATAAGACTGGACATGGTACCGAGTGCTTGTCATCACGGCATGGGAGACATGGAAACCGGTGAATGCCGGAGCTTCTCCGAGTCAGCCACTATAGCCTTCTGGGTGAATTCCAGGCCCACTGAGAGATCCTGCCTCAAAATCCAAGGTGTCAGCCCCTGAGAAACTACACTGGAGGCTGACCTCTGGCCTCCATATGAAGGCACACAAATGTGCAGTCACACACACACACACACACACACACACACACACACACACACTCACTCACTCACACAACTTTAAAAAAAGGATGGATCATGAGGAAGCTTCAGGACAATTTCAAACAACCTAATAACTGTCGCCGGAACCCTGAAGAAAGTGGATGGTAGTGGATTTTATTTTTCCAAATTTGAAGAAAGTATAAAACATCACAAATCCAAGAACGTAAATGAACCCTAAAGAAGGAAATATGAAGAGCATCATGCCAGAGCACCATGATGAGATTGCCTAAAGCCAGTGAAACCGGGACATCTCAGAGGCAACCCTCTCAAGAGAATTGTGTCAGACTTCTCACCAGAAGTGTATGCCAAAGACAGGTAGCAACCTCCGAGTTTTGTTATTTTCTTTGGGGTTTCTTTGTTTTGTTTTGTTTCTAGACAGGGTCTCACTATATAGCCCTCGCTGGCCTAGAACTCACTATGTAGATCAAGCCGACCTTGAACTCACAGACATCTACCTGCCTCTGCCTCCCAGAGCTGGGATTAAAGGCCTGTGCCACTATACCTAGGCTCTGGAGAGAACTTCTTTAAAGTTCTGAAAGAAACAAAATGTAAACTAGAATTCTCCACTCAGCAAAAATACCTTTCAAAGAAATGAGGATGAAGTATTTTCTCACGTTTGCAGAAGCTGAGTGAACACAACTTCTACATACAGACTAAGGGAATATTAAGGGTCTTTCAGGCCAAGAGAAAAGGACACACTGCCATCTGCATCTGCTCAAAAGAATGGAGAAAACACCGGAAATGCTGTGGGCGTGTGTAAAAGAGGTTTTTCTTATTATTTAAATCTTTTAAAAAAGAACAATGTAACCAGGATAGGGAACCCTTAGCTGAAAACATCCAGGGCCCCCTGCCTCCCGGAACAAGCTGCTGTTTGTATGCAGAGCCTTGCCTAGATTCTGATGAGGTCACCGCAAGAGGTAAACTCCAGGGAAGCTCTTAGCCCGTGAGTGTTTACAGCCATGTGGGAATCGGGCTGTACGTAGGGAAGGAAAGACTGGAGATTTGATTAGCACAGAGCACAAGCACTGCTGCTTACATCTGCGGCTCAGCTGGCCCCCGCGCAAGCTGCTGGACCGGAAGACTGAAGCCCAGCCGAGCCTACTCCCCCATCAGTGCAAGGAGACGTCGAGGTGCAGTCCCACGGGTGGCAGCCGGTCACAAAGGGAAGAGGCCCTGGTACCCAAGGAGCCCATTCTCCGGGGAAGCTGGATTTCCTGGAGCTGTAACAGAGAAGGGACATGTGTTCCCTTTGTCCCCAGATTTCCATCAGCCACTTCTGCCGCCGCCCCTCCGCGGAAGCTGTCCATGGGTTTGGAGGTCACCATCGATTTCCCTATGAGAGCCGCTTTTCTGTTCTTGGCTGTCCTCCACCTTGCCCACTTCTCTAACCCTTGCTCTCTGTTATGACTGACTCTTCTACCTTTCCAGGAAAAGGTGCTGCTCGCTCTGCCCTGCCCCCGTCCCTCCCCCGCCAGTTTCCGCTCCCTCTGAGATGTCGCACACTCCTGCTGCTGTGGTACTGTCCTGATGATTCCACGACTTCTCTCCAGTCCCAGCACCCAGGCCACCTTGGCCTTGACATACCCGTCACCGGTCTTCCTCTGTGTGCCCAGCTTTCCGACTGTTCACCTACACTGGGGCCCTGATTGTCTGCCTCCCATCTTTCCACTCAGAGTGTGAACTACTCCAGCGTGGTGACGGAGAGGGTCTTCCTAGCTGCCTACAGCCCATTTAGCACCTGCAGGAACTGGGAGGGGCGTCTATATCTTGCCAGGAATTTCAATTCTATAATCAGCATATAAAAAATAGGTTGTGAATGGCCACAATTGCCTTCAAAGAATCTCTTACGGCACTCATAAAATCACGTGGCTTTACCAATGAAAGGGGGACAGCCAATTTCCCTTCCCGGTCTTGGCCTCCCTTTGGAAGTACCGTGTGAAGTGGGAGAGCTGGGACACTTCTGTTAGCTAGTTTATCTCAGTGGCTCCCTCCTCCCACTTTGCCTTTTTTTTTTTTTTTGCCCCACACGTTGATTGAGTTTCCACAAGTGAAGTGCAGCCTGGACTCTACCACATAAAGGTTTGATAAATGAATTCTTTCCCTCAACTGGCTCTCCCCCTTGACTTCTTTCTGCCATCACAGCTCCGGGTGGAAGGAGCTGGAAACCCTGACCCTTCCTTCTCCTCCCCATCCCTTCCCTTGCCCACTGTTCACTCTCCTCCGCTTTACCCTCCCCACCATTGACGGCCACCCACTGCTCCAGCCCTAACCGCCTCCATCTTGACCTCTGGGAAAGACTCCTAACCGGTCTCACGGGTCCTCCGCAGTCCACGGTTCACACGGCCACTGGATCGACATTTTCTGAAGCAGTGGTTTAGTCTTATCATTGTCTGCCCCGAGAACCATCAATGCTTCTCCATTGGCTAGCCACTAGCATCCTGTACAGTCTAGTCCCAAGCTATCTTCAGCCTCCCGGAAGAATTCTACTCCTTGCCTATTGCCCAAATGCGTCCCGTTTATATCACGACTTTCTACCTCAAAGGCTACCCGCCACAAAAGTTTCAAATGATGCCATCCCAACTGGCCCTTTCCTCTCTCCACTGCAGCTCCACTTCTGACTGGTGTATCTCACACTGCCAGATCATGAGTATACTAAAGAACATGTTGGGGGCTGGAGAGATGGCTCAGTGGTTAAGAGCATGTGCACTCAGGCCAGCCTGGACTACCAAGTGAGCTCCAGGAAAGGCGCAAAGCTACACAGAGAAACCCTGTCTCGAAAAACCAAAAAAAAAAAAA